GCCTGCCTTCTTTGTTTCGGAGCAGCTTCGGCTGATAAAAAGAGGCAAATAGTTATTATTCTCAGCCGAAGCTGCTCCCAAACAACCAGACAGACAGAACGGGGCACTGAATTGAACCGCGCGCGGGCGGGCGGGGTGGGGGTGAACGGGCGCTTCGGAGGAGCTGCGGCGACAGGAAAAGCCACCCCCCCCGGCTTCTTTGAAGCAGTTTCTTCCTGGGCTGGTGGAGCAGCGAGAGAGCAACTGAGAGAGGAACGAGGCGGGAGGAAACCGAAGCCGCTGAGCCAGAGAGCAGGACAGGCTTCGGTTGCTTCCTCCCTCCCCTTCTTTCATTTGTGTCCTTGATCCCCGATCCCAGCAGCATTCACCGAAGGCGAAGAAAGCCGCCATTTTTTAAATTTTTTTTCTTTGCGGCCCAGTACAGAGTGCTCCACGGACCGGTACCGGTCCACGGACCGGTGGTTGAGGACCCCTGCTCTAGATCATTGTTTCTTAACCATGGCAATCTTAAACTATGTGGACTTCAACTCCCAGAATTCTGAGTATTTGTCATAAAAACTGAGATGATTGGGAGCTGAAATATAGACAATAATATAGACTAAAGGCATTGTTTTTCCACACTGTATAATTATTACACTTGTGCAAATAGGCCAGACTGGGAAAAGCCAACCCCATAAATTTGATAAAGTTGTTTATCTATTTTACTCGTTGTTAATTATTTTTTCTGCAGAATCCTCAGGATTCCCTTGGAAATGTGTCAGAGGTATTTCAAAGAAAAGAACATTAATTGGCAGACCAACTTCCATATAAAGAGTTCCATGCTCTCTGATAGTGTTAGCGATAGTCGTTTTTTTTTCCCAGCAACAGATAAGAAAATAATTGGCCATAATTGCAGGATGTAGAAGGATGAAGCTGAGAGATTTTGAAAATGTTGGCTGCTGAAACCTTTTTCATTCAGCTGTGGATATCTTCCATAGCCGGCATCCATCTCTTCCTACTGTGATATTTTTTTTATGCCAAATGAGCAATTTCTGAAGCTTTCTCCTCCCATCCAGTACCACAATAGAAGATTTTACTAGCACATAAAATTAAATAATACTTACAATAGTTTACGAATATGTTAGTGTTGAGGCCATCTCTTTTAAATAGGAGGAATTTTTCTTGAAACTCCTAAATAATAAGACTTCAAGACTTCTACAAAATAAATAAACCCTTTAGACTTGTCATTTCAAATTCGGTACACCTTATTTCATCAGAAGAGGCCACTTACTGAAAATTTGATTCAATTCTACAAAGAAAACATTATCAGCAGCTACCTTTTTGGTTTGTTTGTTTTAATCAATCCATAAACATACCAAACACAAAAACACCTTTCATCTATTAGTCTGAAAATTGACAGAGTTCATAACTGTCCTAAAGGGCTAGCATTCCCACAAACTTCATCTAATTTGAAGCAGTTACCCATTTGTTGATTTCAAATCTATCAAACACAGATGTTTTGATTTCTTTACTGAAATTTGGATTCAGATCCTAAATACTCTTCTAATCAGTTCAGGGTAAATTGTTTCCCGAACTGAGATCTAAATAGAATCTTGTGGTTGATGGACACTTCCAATCTTTGTAGAATTTGTACAGTAGGCTGTTGTAAAATTGCCCAAAATGTGATTTACATGGCATAAGATTAATCATGAAGACAATTACAATTTATATTGTGTACACAGAAGTAAAAATAGTAACCCAGTTCTTTCACTTCTATGTCTATTTATTGGAGGAGCTGAGTGTGCATAAGAAGCAGAAATTCAGTAGATATCCTTTTGTTCCATTACTACACTTCCACATCAGATAAGGTGGCACCTGTCAAATTTCTGCTTCTCAAGCAACTGTTCAGGGCAGAGACATTCTTCAATGAACTGGTGACAATTCTGGGAAATCTAAGAAATCAGGAAATCTGCCAGGAGAGGAAACACTTGCCTGACAATATATTCTACACACGCTAATATGCCCAGAGAAGCCATTTATTACTTCTATAAGAGTCTATGCTAGTCTGGAATGTTAGATCTGTCTAACATTAGAGAGAGTGAGCCAGCTGCTTCAAGAAAAGGATATTGGGAGAAGGTGGTGAAATGTTTGAGGATTAAATCATATGTGTTAGATGACTTATCCTCCATCAACTAAATTAATGGAGAGCACATTTTCCTATCATCAGTTATGCTACCAAATTCAACTATCACAGCAGTCATGATATGGGAAAGCATCCTTGCCTTTCACCTCAAGTCAAGTATTTTGAGCCACTGTTGCATTTAAGACAACAATCCTACAACAACAAGAAACAGGCTACAATAGTTAATATTGTAGCGATGGGGATGCTGATGCATGTCAAATAAAACAATGAGAAATCTTTGTGGCATTTTCTTCGGATTAAAATATTTTGTAAAGCATTTTTAATCAGAGTTCTTTTTAAGCAGAGAATGATCTGGTCAGAGAACTCATAAACCATCAAAAGAGAGATAGAGAAACTGTACTCGAAGCTCCTTCAAGCTTTACTTGAAAATGTCCAGAGTTCATTGGAATTGGATGGCTATTACTAATTTGAATAAATAAATAAATGAAAAAGCAAAAGCACACACGGAAGAAAATGATGAGGAAGTCAAGCCATTAGGGAAAACCCAAGCAATTGAAGAATCTCCCCCTCACCTGCCTTTCAAAATTTGCTTTATCCTTTTATTAATCAAAATTAGAAGCTTGCCCATCTCACTCACAGCATGACTCTAGATAGTGTACAATTAAAAACATAAAAAACCATATAAATATTATAACCACTAGCAGGCAGTTAAAACAAGAACAAAATAATAAATAAAAATTTGGAAGACTTGAGCAGCAAGTATTTCCTACTGGCAGGAGAAATATGCAGTTATTTTTAAAGAAAGATCCTCCCCACACTGAATATTACACCTTGGGGCTCTACCTTCAGAAAATTATCTTTTAAAGTATAAACATATCTGGGAATAATAAAATTTATAGTCTCCAGACTTAGATTTCTTCCCATGGACATTTGAGAATTAATGAGTTTGCAGCAAAGTTTTTAAGACAGCATACAAGGATGCATGTGTGTGTGTGTGTTGTTCCATATTTAAGCTTATGCTAATCGCTTAGTTATTGATTAAAGATTGGATTTCTTTGTAGGACATAGTATCAGAGCAGTTACAAGTGGATTTAATTACTTTTTCAACAAATATTTATGGGTGAGCAGGAGATTGAAGTCATGACAACAAGTCTTCTGGTACCCTAAAGACTAACAAATACATTGCGTTGCTTGCTTTTCTTCATGTTGGAAATAGAATTTATTCGTCTCTTTTGTGCCATAAGATTTTTATACCTTTGGATTGAAAAAACCTAATAGTATTTGCAAATTGAAACTCAAGTTTGAGATTGTGAGGATAGCATTATAGCTATGTGTCAACTCATAAAGAACCCTGACACTATGGAGATTTCTGTTTGATTAATTAATAAAAACTACATACACAGGTGAGATCTTTGCAAGCAATAGTATCCTAGTATCCATGTTAAGCAGTTGTGAAGGATTACCAAGGAGAGAGAAAGAGAGAGAAAGATGTTAGTTGGCTACAACAAGAAAAGCCATTCTGCAGAGGCTGGACTTAATTATGAAATTCAATTAGAGAGCATCAAGAACTCATTGTTAGTCTCCCTCTGGCGTTGGCAATATTAACTTGTACTAGCACAAAGGGATGATTTGGTGAGAAAAAAAAGAGATTTTTGAGGTGCTCGACAGGGTGATTGAAGAGGCAGTTAATTTCCTTTTTTGAAAGGCTATTTCCCACCATTCAGGACTTACTTTAAAGAACAGCAACATCTCTCTCTCTCTCTGTGTGTGTGCATATGCATTAAAACTGAAATGCAACACATTTTGAGAATCAGAAAAAGAGATATTTAAATGAGCAAATTAAAGCTATTTCAATTTCAGTGTATTTGACTTGCACTGAAGGTTTTCTTACTCCAAGGGTGTTAGGGAGTAAGCTCCACTGAATTCAGTAAGGCTTGCTACAAAGTATGCATAAAGCAAATGATGAAGTAAGAATAATGTCAGGTTGCCTACCAGAGAGATGTGGGTAATAGATGGGAAGGGGGTACTAGAATGGGGAGAGGGAGAGTGTTAGTTAGCCCTGATCATTTTTCTCTCTCATCCCAACGGGCAGAATAAAGAGCAGGAATATAACTGACGGGAGGCATTACTTTATTAGATTTTAATGTTCCTTTGATGCATTAAGATGGAAATTGTGAATTTATCTCTCTGTGTGGAGTGCTTAGATCTTTAAAAAAAATGGTTGAGGAGTTTTGCACCTAAGCTTCTATTTAAAAAGTTACAAGCTTCTACTTTCATTTAGCTTTTATCCCTCTATGCTTCTATAAGAGAAGTATTTTGTGGTTTGGTTATTGAATCGAGCTTCCCATCGTTTCCAGAAGGAGAGGGGGGTGGGGAATCCATGGCATATGTGCCACTGGTACTCCTTATCACGACCTCTTGGACAACTATGCTATTATGGAAGAAGGGATTCTCCCCACAGATTTTCAATTACCCAGCGAGGTGCGTCTCTAGGTCTTTTACAAATTACCTCCCGCAGAATTCTATACAGTGTATCCTTGCGCAGAAGTAGCCTCTCTCCGTTCGGCAGGGTGTTAGTAACGGCCTGGAGAGTACCGCAGTCCCACTTTCGCGGGACAAGGCGTGGGCCACCTTCGCCAACTGCACACACGCGCGGACTAAAGTTACTATGCACTTTGGGGAGGCGGCATCCCAGAATCACCAAATGGTTCGGGGAAGACCTCCTTACCTCCAGTATAAGATGTCTTCCAAAAACATCGCTTCCGCGGAAGTTCCCCTCTCCCGCCTTTCCCCATCCCGAGGGATCGACAAAATGCGCCCAGGAAGCCAAGGCTCCCCCACGGCCGGCCGAGAGAGCCAAGCGGAGTCGCCTGCCTACCTGCCCGTTCTTGCACAGATCTGCCCACATGCTGGTCCCGTCGCCGCCGCGCATCAGGACGTGGTAGGTGAAGAAATAGGTGCCCGGGATGTTGCAGGTGAACTTGCCCGTGGCGGCATCATAGTTGTTTCCCAAGTTGGTTACGACGTCGTCGAACTTGAGTATCTCGTAGCCCTCGTGAGGGTTCTTGAGGCCGGCGTAAAAGGCCACGCGGGGCACCATGGTGTAGGTGGCCGCACTGATGGCCCCCGTGCTCAGTCCCGGCCCGGGCAGGCCAGGCGGACCGGTTTTCCCAGGATCTCCTCTCTCTCCCGGGGGACCTCGCGGGCCCGGGGGGCCCGGCTCTCCCGGGGACCCCGGCGGGCCTGGCTTGCCTGGCCGCCCCGGCTTGCCCTGGGGCCCCTGGACGAGGGTGGATGGCGCGGGCAGTCCGCTGTGGTCGCTACTTGCGCTACTCAGGCTTTCGGCGCCCTCGCTCCGGATGCTGCTGGCGCTGGTCGTGGTGCTGGTCTTGCCCAGGTAGGGGTCGCAGACCATACGGCAGGTGCCCAGCATCTCGTAGTGTCCGTCGATGCCTACGGAACTCACCAGCACCGGAATGAGGATCACCAGGATCAAGATCATCACCACGCCGATGGCCCCGGCGACCAAAGTTTTCCGGCCAATGCTCAGCCGCTGAAGGGGCTGGGCGCGTTGCCTCCCCGTGGTGGAAATGGTGACGGACGGACGGGGCAAGCTGGCAGGAGAATAAAACCGGCGGGTGGGGAGGGCAGAGAGGGTAAACTTCAGGAAAGGAGGAAGAAAGATCTCTCGGTTGGGGAAGAGGATGTGGAGGGGTGTTCTTGTGCTGTGTGTGCGTGTGTGTGTGTGTGTGTCCGTGGGGGGGGGGACAACGCCGTCCCCTCGTTGGCTGGAGTATCGCCCTTAAGACTGCTGCTCTTTGATGGCCTTTTTATAACAGCTGCAAGTACGATCCCAGGTTTGATATGGAAATGTGGGCTGGGTGAGGGTGAGAATAAAATAAAAATTAAAGAAAAGAGGAAAGACAAACCGAGTGAACCAAGAGGCAGGCAGAGAAGTGAGAGAAGAGAGAGCCGGCAGGTTCTTTACTGGATACATCTTAGTAAGATGCCTTCATTGATTTGCTTTCCCTTTTCCCCTCCTTACTCAATTTTCTTCCACCCCCTTTGGGGAGGGGGAAGAGAACAATCTATTGCAAGGGAAAAGTGGTGCTTGGGGCAAAGAAGAAAAATAAGAATGGAGCCACTGAAGTCCCTCCCCCCCTTTAACCAGATAGCTAAACCAGCCCTCATCCAAAAGAACTAAAATATTGTTTTAAATGTTATTAGTAACTTTGATCTCCCAAGGATCTTGTGAACAATGTCAGGGAATTCATTTTGTTCTTGTTCCCATTTGCACTTGTCCTGATAATACTTGTTCCCTTCTCTACTCATGAAATTGCGCTCAACCCATGAGGGATTAATTTAAGAATACCAACAACTCAGTGTTTTCCCTAATTTTTTCCCCCGCTGATACTGCTGTACAAGATGTGTATTCAATAAAATATTCTATATTTTACCAGGCAAACTCAGGAGACCAATGACAGGTGGAATCAGAAGTCTGTCTTGGGAGCCACAGGTTGCTCTTCTACTCTGGTCACCAGGCAGCCTCCATCAGGCATTTATTTCCCACCTTTGCTCTCCTTGTTAGCAGTAGGTTGTCTGAATTCCTTGTGCTCCTCTCACATTTATGTTTTTTTGTGTTAGCTTTTCTTCAGGTTTCCAACAAGGAGGGCAGAACTGCACTATTTCAGGTGGGCAAGAAGAGGGGATAGCTTATTTGCCACTTGGCTTGAATCCTTCTCTATCAATTTCACTCCTGCTTCCCCTAAAGTAAAAAAAAAAAAAGGTGACTGCTGACAGCTAGCATTTGTCAGACTGTCTACTCTCTAAGACCCTGAAAATTACAAGCACAATCATGGTGGAGTCTGCTTCCTTCCGAGTTCCACGCTGGAGTCTCTCCCTCCCCACTTCTTATTTTATATCATTTTAACTTAGAAGATGCCCAAATGGACTTAAGGTTTTAGCAAATAAAATCAACCTAGAAATGACAGGCAAAGACCTGAACTCAGACCCTCCTCTTCGATGCTACAGTGTGCTGATTGGTGTACATTTCCTCCATTGATTGGTGACATGCTGACGAGGAATAGTAGCAAAATCAGTGATAAAACCAATCACCTGCCTGTCACGAGTGGCATACTCATTAAACATTCTGTAATTATTTGTAATAGATCCAGAAGAGGCAAGATAAGGACTAGCAAAGGGGACAAGTGTTAAGTTGGTATTGTGTTGTGCCAGCTCAAAGTTGGGTGGACCACACTAGCTCAACAGTAGGGAAAAGCTTTTCTGTCTAACAGTCCTGGAGAGTACTGTTAAAAGAGGGATGGAAACAAAATTTAAAAAGAGCCTGGGATTTATCTATTGAAGTTGTATATTTCCTCATACCCCATCTTTCTTGATTTCGAGAATTATTGAACATTCAATGGTTTTATAATTTAATCATTTAGCTTTTCATTCTTCCCATTTTGTTTTATGTTTAGGAATATCAAATAAGTAGCAATTGTTGGTATGCAAAATGCACTATAATAAAACCTGTACATATATATACTATGTTATTTGAGTGTTTGTGTTTATATACATACGCACGTATTAAACAGCACAATAAAGATCAGAACCCTGTATGATTATATTAAGCTCAAACATTTGGAATATGAATGACATAAATAGTAAGAATGAATGAATGAATGAACTGGGGGATTTAAAATTAACCAGTCTACAAGAAGCAAAGTTAAAAAGAAATCCTCTTTGAAGCGAGCGAAAAGTATATTTACATGTAAAGAAGTAGGAGGAGCACCATTGTGTATTGGCTAAACCAATCTCAAAAGAGAAGTTCAGAAAAAGTAGAAAACGAACAATATTTGGCTGCTTTCAGAATAATGACAAAGTAGAGATGGAAAAATGTGGAGAAAGCTAAATATGTTAAAGCAAGATTCCTTTGGATAAGGCAATAATTAAAGTGGTCTGATGTATATACCACTCACTAGGATATAAATGTTTGTGGGACAGCATCTTCTGAAGGGTTATCTCGTCTGAATTTTATTTCAAATCAAAAAGTGTAACAGAGGGAGATGACCAAAGTATCCATTGACACTTAATCTTTTGACAGTTGATTGAACATGCATATTAGTAGTTTGGTTAGACTTGTCTTCTGTAGTAATGCATCTTGGAGTTGTGGTGGCACGATGGTTAGAATGCAGTATTGCAGGCTAACTCTGCCCATAATCTGGAGTTTGATCCTGACCAGTTCAAGGTTGACTTAACCTTCCATCTTTCTGAGATTGTTAAAATCAGGACCCAGATTGTTGGGGCAATATGCTGATTCTAATGGACTGTAAAGGGGCTTCCAGTTTGAGCTTCTTCAGCGATAGACCGAAATCCGCGATTATGCGCGGTTTTGATCTGTGCTCACTGCTGGAGCGCCCCGAGCCGGCTGGTTTCAGGGCTAAGCCACCGCGTAGAGGTGGTGAAGAGTGGGGAGACTGCCAGCAGGGTCGAGGAGAGTCACATCTCTCCTCCCCAGCTGGCCATTACTCCCTTTCCCGAAGGCGGTTGCAGTGGTGGTCAGAAATGACCACCTGAAAGAAGAACTCAACCGGAAAAGAATTTGCAGGAGGAAGATAAGAAGAGAAAGTTTGGCTGACCGGGTCAAACTGAAAAAGCAACAATATAAGGTACCCTGGAATTTGAATTATAAAGAATAACATTGCTCCCAAAGAAGACTTTGAAGCGGCTAATGAGAGAGAGAAGGGAAAGGATTTGGTTTTTCTCTTTTCTTTCCTATATTGACAACTAAGAGATTTAAGCAAGAAATCGGCAAAAATCCACTTTGACATTAACAGATATTTAAGCTGAAAATAAAATGTCAAAGGGATAATAAAGATTTCTGGATTCTCAAAAACTTTTAAAAGAAGGGGAAAAAAACAAAAGGGTGGGATCTGGAAAAATGGAGGAGACCACCTGGAAGTGAAAGGAATTAACAGTGAAAGTTTAACAAGATTCCTAAAAGATACAATTTAACTGAAACTTTGTAACAAGATAAGAGAACCCCAGGAAGAGAAAGTGGAAAAAAGAATCAAGAAGAAACAGCTTTGGATTATTTGGATTACTTGGTGATTTTTGGATTTTTGGATCTAAAGGACTAAAATTAATTGGGTGGTTGTTTAAAAGTTTTTAAAATGGTATCACTCTTGGAAAAATTGAAAATGAAACTTAAAAAACAGAAAGAAGATGCACAAGAAGGAAGAGGTTCTTTTGGCTTCGTATTTCAATTTTTAGAAATGAAGATCCTGAACTATGAGAAACAACAAGAAATGCTTGTAGAACAAGAAGGGCAGGACAAAGAAGAAGCCATCTTCAATGACCAAGTATTTCTATGCAGGGAAAAGAAAGGAAAGGGGGAAAAGAGAGTGAAAAATTTAAGATTTGAAAAAACAACCCCAAAAAAGAATAGTTTGAAAAGTAATTACAATATTAGGGAAAAAACAGAAGAGAGGATTACAGAAGAGAGAATCAGAATTAGAGAGAGAAGGGGTCAAAAAGGGAAGGGAGAAGAAGAGGGGGAAGAGGGAAAGGAAAAGAAATTATAAAGGACAGAAACAGGACATAGAGAAACAGGGAAAATGTACAAAGATTAAGGGTATAAGCCTATTTAGAAGACACAGAGATAATGGGTGAAAATTTAATTGAAAGGGGGATTCTGCAAGGGTACATAAGATATTATTGTTATATTAGAAATAGAAATGAACTTTGAAAATATGAAACAAGTGTGATTAAAATGATAGATAAAACACTCATTGTAATGTAATCGAATGTTTAATAAATAAATGAAATAAAGAGAATGAGAGAATGGAATGAGGAAAGGAGGGGAACATTTTAATTATCATTAATGTGTTATAAAAATTTAAGTGAAGAGGAATATGAAAGAAATATGAAAAAATTATGGAAATATTATAAGTGTTCCTAGAATTATGATACCCTATTGAAAAGAAATGTTAAAGATGTTAAAGATTATATAACATTAATGATAGAGCTGAATTGGAATAGAATAAGTATTTTATTTATTATTGTTTTATATATATACAGTACTTTTTCTTTAAGAACTTGGTACATATTTTAAGAATGTACCAAGCAGAATTTGACTGGAAGTTATGTGTTATATTGAATGTTATAATTGTAAAGGCATAAATTGAAGTTTAAATAAGAGTTGAAGGGATAAAAATTAAAAGATGTAAAGGTGTCATACTCCAATCAGTAACTACAGGGGAAAATTTTGTTTATTGAGAAAAGAAAATATGAAATTGAAACAGGACAGACAAAAGTATAAATATAATGATTAGAAAGATATTGAAACTTAGAAAAAGATATATCTAATTGAATTTAGAAAGGAATGAGATAATTAAAAGTAAGATTGAGAAAACTAAGGGAAGGGAAAAATTATTGAGAAAATGTTAAAATAGTAATAAGATATGGAATAGAACACAAAGATGAATATGAAATTGAATTTGT